GTAAAACGATTTCTTTTTATAACAAAAACAGACCTTTATTATTTAATACATTACACATCACCTGCATAAATCGAGAGGACAAATAGATTCTATTTACAGACAAAGCGGAGACGTTTCTTTTCGTTTTCGACAAAAGACCTGTCACAAAGCGAGAGATCTTCCGGACCTTATCTCTTTGTTCCAAAACACAATCGCAATTATTCGAGTTTGTAAACTGTATGCGAGAAGAACTTTACCCAATAAAAGACGCGACGGGATAAAATTGCTGATCTTCAATTCACCGAAGTGAATTCATAAGCAGAATAAAAAAAAACGATAAAAAGTTCCGGGGTAGATTCGTCACAAAAGAAATTTGCTTTCGTGGCGAAGATTAAATTAAAGTCGTCTCAAAAGTCGTAATAATTTCTTTTTAGAAGAATTAGGCTGGAAGGAGAGGGTGAAAAGTGGATGGGCGTGTTCATTAAATTATAAAGCAAGTTTACTTTCAACTTAAATTTCACTTGTTTAAGCGATTAAAACGATGAATTATAAAAATAGGAAAGTTTCTAAAAAACAAGATGTAAAACAGTTTGATAAGTCGTTGTATTATTTCAAAATTTACTGCATAGAATAAGGCACCGGGAGAGTGTGACCCAGTTTTCTTCAGTCTAGGAGCTGACTAGGTGACCTTTGAACTGCGAACAACATGCCGGAAGAATATAAATTCACCACTAACGTAACCGTATAAATAATGCAATTGCTATTGTCGCAATCAATAAGTCAATAGAGGACGTTTATCTGCAACGAAACATTAGATAAAAATAATTTATAACAATATCAGGCACCTCCACCATTTCTTTAAACAACGTTTTATTATTTTGTGCGATACCTTTTTGAATATTACTACTAATATGTTATTGTATGTTGTTAAATACAATTAATTTAAATGAAAATAATAATATAATATCGCAAATTAAATTGAATCGGAAATTTCGATTTTACTCCAATTCTCCGCAACTGTGTTGTAATGAATTTAATTCAATTTGCATTTCATTAAATTTAACACAGTTTTATTACGTTAGTTTTTACAATTGCTGAAGTCTTATATCTCAGATCGAGTTTTAAAGGTGAATTTAGAGGGAACGCTTTCTAGAACTTAAAGCAAGTAATCCAAAAGTACCACAAGGCAGTGTACTAAGACCAATCCTCTACCTAGTATATATCAGTGATATTCCTGCATTAAAACATGAAAATCAGTTAACAAAATTAGGAACTGGGCCAAGCAACGGAAAATCAAGTCAAATGAGCTAAAATCTGCCCATATTAATTTTACAAACAAAAGGAACCAACACGCTCCTGTCAGCATGAACAATACTCATGCACCATAATGCTGCAATATACAGCAAAATATTTGTATGTCAATTTTAAAACAAATTATAGGGCACCATAGAAACACGGAAATGGACATCGTTCGAACAGATATTGTTCAACTCGAAATTTCCATGTAGTTCATCATAGTATAGTTTATTTATAAAGGAAATACATTCGGGACAATGTTGGTAATCGATAGAGTCCCCAAGATGTTGTCCACTGCAATTTCACAGGGCCAGATAATGGGTCTCAAAGTGTTTAGTGGCAAGAAGTATCCATAACAACGATGTGAGCAACAAATATAATCAATATTCAGGTGAATCGCTTCAATTTAAGGTCAAAGCGATCCTATCAGTCATTGTATAATCTCGTGGTTCTCTCGAAAATTGTGTGAATTATAAATATATTCTATTGTAGATGATAAAACTTTTCTTCAGATACACTTTGTGTTTGAGTTCAATATTTCCAGCTCTGGTTACTGATGCATTAAGGAATGGTAGCTAGTTATCATGAATTTCGACCATGAAAAATTTTATAATTGGGTCCTGGATATTAAATGATTTAAACATACGTATTGTAATCATAGCTTTGATTTTCAGAGATTAATTTCTAATACAGCTTGGAATAGCTCCATATAAAAGTTGCTGAATTAACTGACGATAATGGCTACTCTGTCACATTGTTCGTGAAACTTTCCTTAACAACCATCAACTTTTCTGTTCCCGCCATTGAATATCCATCGACTGAATCAACACTTTCATCGTCCTAATTGTCCTATTCACAATCGTCGTTGTGTGACCCTTATATGTAGACTGGACGACTATTTCAATTCTCTTTGTAAACCTTTTCTTTCACCAATTGTCCAGTTTCACTTCGGTTATTTTCTGTTTTTAACATTTTTGTGACATCATAATGGGAGTTTTTAATTTTGACCACTGGAACAAGTTCTCAAAACTGTTTGTAATATAAGCACTGTGTTTTGTGTTAAATTACTCGCCTAATACATGGTAAATTGGCGATACGATCGTTGTCGATGAAACCCCATATTACCACTCATAACCGTCATAGGTTTTATCGACTGCAGGACTATCAGCAGAACTACAGGGATTAGTGAGTTTATAAAAGTGATATTCGATACATTTACCCATCATTCTCGTACTATTCTCAGACGTTGATAAGGTTTGGTCAAAAGCTCATCCCACAGGATTCTTGGCTTTTTTCTTCTTTTATATTTTTGTTTCATGTTAAATATTTTCTTTAGTATTCTTTCATCAGCTGTTCCTCTTCTATCTCTATTAGAGCTCTCAAGCTTAGTTCTTCTCTGACGCATTCTCTATTTTTCGCAGATACTTCATCTCCGCTGCACCTATTTTAGATTTGCTTATCTTACATTGTCCTAGTTTCCTACCCTTCGGCGAGTGTGGATGTATAGATGATTCTATACATATAATATTGCTTTAGTTCTTTCTTAATGAGGTGAAGTATCTTTTAAACTAAGGAAGTATCACTTTAAGAAATTACAAAACTGATCGAAATCCATTGAATCTTCTTTCACCGATATTTTAGGTTAGGAACAATGTCTTGAGGCGAGACATTCACTAGCTTGTTTGGGCATCATTTTGCTGTGTTTTTATGAAAAAAAGTAATACCAATAGATTTAACTTTTCTAAGAAAATTCACAATTTCCATTGTAATATCAAAAAATGCCCTCTCGTGGCGACGTATCAACTTACAATCATTACAAATAAGGTAGGATTTGTAGTCCAAGAAAAGCTCTTTTCAATTATACCAAGGTTATTAAATTCCGTTCAGTCATTTTGAAATTGACCTAACATTCCTGCACGCTATAACTGGGATTTCTTTACGCTATAATTGGAGTACAAACGAATACCGACATTCCTTCACGCTGTAATTGAGGTTCAAAAGAAAACTGACCTATCCTAACAGTACGCAGTAATTTTTATCAGAGTTGATTTACATTTGTAAACAAAACTAACGTAATTCAACTTTTCTCTTCTGGAGCTAATTTTAATGAGTCTTTTAACAACCCTTTTTAATGAAATCTTTATTTTTTTTTCTTCTTCTTCTTCTTCCTTATGTATTTAGGCATCACTGGCTGTTTTTCTTCACTTTTTGTCCCTTAATCGTTTGAAAAGTTGTCGCTCCATCTTTTTGTAAGTCTTCCAATGTTGCTTCGTCCTGATGATAATTTTCACAATTCGTTCTTCTGTCATTCGGTCGATGTGCTCATTTCATTTCTTCTTTCTGTCTAATAGCCAATCGTTGATATTATCTATCCTACAAGCCTGTTTGTTGTTCTCACTTCTTTTTCTGTCCATCAATGTGTTCCTAACTATTCTATTCACTATTTTCATTTCTGTAGGTTCCAGCATTCTTTTTGTTTTGGATGTTTCTGGTCGATTCTCTGCTGCATATATTAATATAGGTCTAATTACGGTCTTGTATATCCGGGCTTTGGCATCAGTTGAGTTTTTGGAGTGCCCTTTCTATATCTTTCTTTTCTATAACGGCCTCATCGTTGATTACTATCTGAGGTGTATTCTATTCTGTTTCGGTATCTTCACTCCTGTAAAGTTTCTCTAACTATTTCACCCAGTTATCTTTTTCTATGTACTTGATGTTAAAAAGCTCATTTGCTTCCGCTCTTTGACTTCTAATTAATCGCCAGATTTATTTCTGCAGTTCGTAGAAATCACTTTCCATTCTTTTAGAAAAGGTTTCCCAGTGTTCGTTCTTAGCTCATCTGAGTAGTGTTTTAGTCTCATTATGAATTCTCTTATATTCTTCGTATGCAAAATTTTGCAGATAATATTTGCTGTTGTTTTGAATATAAAGAAACAATTGGGAAGAACTGAGATTTATTCTAATTTTAAGGTTTCATTCATAAATTGTTAATTCACAAATAAAAAAGGTAAAACTTCTCTTTGAAACTAGAACCACTTCAATTCCTAGCTACCTAGCTATCTGGGTCTCCATTTATCTAAATTTGCCCTGACAAGAGAAGCGCGTAAAGGTGCTGCAAGAACAAAATGCATGCAGGTAGCACCTGGAATATTCCAGGGATGATATTAAACACTGTTAAAGAAGATATTAAAAATACCTGTATGAAATAAAGAACCTACATATTGCATTCATAAAAATCAATTTTAAAAAGACATCTAACATCTTATCCGACTGTAATCACGCTCTGAAATTGAATATGCATGCGAATAGATCGAGTCTGATGTGCGAATCTAATCTACATTTTTCAATTCGATATCAAGATATTTTTCCGATAATTCTTTCGTGCCTTCGTTCTTTGCTATACTGAATTTTTACGGAAACAGAGTTTATTTAATATTCATAAGAAGGGGAACATCGAAAGCAGGAAAAGAAAATTAACCCCCTATTTTTTTATGTATCTTTCAGCTCTTTACTTTTTTTTTTACTGAAAGATTCATGGTTTTTCCCCTGTTCGATCAAAACTTGTTTCTATTCATATTTACCTTTGATAATTAAAAGTTTTATGGCAATTAAGTAATCATAATAAATTTACATATCATTACAACCCGTCATAAATTCGCTTTCCCCACTAATAATGCCTAAACTGGATATTTATTGATATCGATTTTATACTTGATTATACTCACCTAGTAATTTACAAGATGTTATTCTTTTTTCACCGCCTGGAAAACTGTTGTTGGGTCAACAGGAAGTCGATTTAAAACCAAGTGGAAAACCTAGATGACGGATTTTTTCTCGGTTTCAGTGTGATTTTTCATCAAAAAGTTAATGCGTGCAAATATTGACGCGTGGGGACCTCGACGAAAAGATTTTCTGTTACTTTTCCTTCGCGTGAAAGGAAATGACAACGCGTGCCGTCAACAGAACACTAGCCCAGAGCAAACTGAAATGTAAAGCTGCCGCGGAAAAGCTTTTCAGGATATAACAGGCTGTAATAGGCTGGTTTGCTGATCATGCGCCGAATTTAACCCCCTAAACTTGAACCTAAAATACAAATAATTAATTAAATTAATAACTTTTAAAAATAATTTTATCCAGTAAAAATTTATAATAATTTCAATCATATTTTTATAAATTTAATAAAAAAACATAACCTAATTTTTTATTAAATGACATTTAATTAAAGGTTGTACAAAAGAGTAATTAATAGTTCATAATTAATTATTTTTTGAAGGAATTAAGAATATTATTTAACACTAATCACATTTAAATCAACAAATTACTTAATTATTATTAAAACTTCTCATAAATAAAAATAATTTCAATTTTAATTAATAACAAAACATTTTATTACATTTGTACACCCCTCGGAAAATCTCAAATGTCAAAGTTAATGTCAAAATGGACGTTGACAGTGAAAGTACAGCAACGTCAATAGACGATGAAAACACAGAAAATTTCTGCGATAATCCAACGAGAGATACGTTAGCTGAAGGGTTAATGGGCCTTATAAAACCGACGGTTGATCAATTGGATGAACGCGTTAAAGCGACCAGGTTAGTTTGAACATAACCTAAAAAATTTTTTTAATTTTCAATTTTAGATTATCCCAAATAGAGTTGAAACAGTGTATAGATTCGCTTGGTGATCAATTGAAGAATATTTCTGATTCGCAACAATCAACAATCGATTTGGACGTTTATGTGAAGAAACTTCAAAACGCCAAAAATCGCGTCACTATTTTAACTAACATCCTTCAACACGCTCAGGATAGATTAAACAAAGTGCACCAATCGATTGAACGCGAAACAATTAAACGTAAAGTTATGGTTGATACGTTAGTTTCAGAACAGAGTACTTCTAATACTGTGATATAAAGATTTCGATAAATTAAGATGTCATTACCAACACCGTCATATGATTTAAGTGAATTTAAGAATGTTTATGAACCTAGGGAAGATACTTTCTTGTTATTAGATGCATTAGAAAAAGATTTAGAAAATATAAAAAAAAATAATCCAATGTTTATCGCCGAAATTGGTTCTGGAAGTGGAATTATAATAACAGCTTTATCTTGTTTATTAAAGACTGTCTGTTTTGCTACAGATTTAAATCCTGAAGCTTGTTACGCTACATTAAATACTTCAAAACTAAATAAATGTGAAATTGAAGTTTGTAATATGAACTTTTTAAGTGGTTTTAAACATAATTTATTTGATTTAATCATTTTTAATCCACCCTATGTTGTTACTGCTTCTGAAGAGATATCTGGTTCAAGTTTATCTCGTTCTTGGGCTGGGGGATTAAATGGAAGAGAGATTATTGATAAATTATTAATGTCATTACCAAATTATTTAAGCAATGAGGGTATTTGTTATTTATTAGTGTTAAAAGAAAATAATCCAGAAGAAATTATTGAGATTGTAAAAAAGGTGGGCTTTAAAGCTACAATTTTGCTAGAACGAAAAATTCCTTCTGAACATTTATTTGTATTAAAATTAAACAAATTGTAAAACATATTTTTAATAAACATCTGTTGGTAAAACTGACTCTGTTGATACTTTATCTAGCGCGGCAATCAATTGTTTGTCTTCATCTTCACTTGTATCAGTATCATAATCAATTGATAGTTCTTCATCTTCAAGTTCAACCTCGTAACTTAGAGAAATGTTTTCTTTATCAAATTCTGTTTGTTCGTGTGTGAAAACTGCGATTTCTAAAACTTTATCTGCGAAGGTATCCATGTTTAATACATCCAATTGGCACAAATCCTCTTCTTCACCCAATGTTTCAAGTATTTGACATGAATACCTCCAACATACGCTGATTTCATGTAATTTATCCAACAAGTGACTAAGATCAGGAATAAGGCTTGTAAGTCTTAAAAGGGAAGGTTTCACAAGGATTTTCAAAAAGTTTTGATTTAATTCACAAATTGTGTAGTATTCAATGTTTGGTAATCCAGTACCAGGAAGGTAGTAATAAGATTTAGTTTCTCTTATTTCTTGATGAAGCAATCTAAATGCATTCAATGATGATTTGAAATTCTTAAAATCAGAAAGAAAAGTAAACATTTTATTTCCATAAAAATTTTATTAATTCTCACTCTTAAATGATCGGAATGAGCAGCTAAATGTATTATTGATCCGATTAAAAGAAACTTAATCTTTTGAGGAACCATTTTTAAGGTGAAAATCTATAAAAAAAAGTGATAATAATGTATAAAAGTTATTCTGGAAATTAAATAATCGTACGCTGTTATATCCTGTTGTCGGTTCTGTTACTAAATTGTGATTCCTTATAATATCGGTATTAAGAATATATTTCTGAATCAATTCTAAAGTGTTTGTGTAGATAATCGCAGTAAAATCATTAAGAAAATTACATTCCTGTAAAAGAAAATTTAAATTTATCAATGTAACCAACCTAAATAATCAAATTTAGTTATGTTAAGGTTACCAAAGTCCCTATGAACGCTGTAGTTATGAACGTATCCACCGCAAAGGCCTTGCTATGACGTCATTGGAAGAATTTACATTTTCATGTTTTTATTTATACAGTGAATTTCACTTAAGATGCAATACACAAAAATATATATTTCCATAAAAACCAGAGCCTACTTACTTTGTCCCACAGAAAATGCAACATGTCACTATGATTTGACATTACAGTAAACGCAGTGTCCGTTATAGCTCAATAAAAATATACATACAATGATTTAGCGCTGAATAACAAACAAAACTAGATTAACACTAACACTAAAGCTCACCCTAGAACTAGAAACATTCCATTTAGCCACACTTCTGTTAAGACGGCTGGTAGGTGGTAGATAGCGCTAGTTAGCATAAAATATCACTTACTAGAACTAGAAAGTTTCGGGTTTAGTTCTGTTAGTTCTAGTTTTAATTCTTATGCAGCACTAGATCAAGAACTAGAATCATTCGGGTTTAGCCTTCTTTAGAGACGTGCGGCTAAACCCAAATGATTCTAGTTCTTGGTCTAGTGTTAGTTCTACGTAATAACAGTGCTAGTGTAAAACTAGAACTAACACTAGACCTAGAACTAGAATCATTCGGGTTTAGCCGTCTTTAGAGACGTGCGGCTAAACCCAAATGATTCTATGAACTAGAAAGTTTTCAGAAGAAACTTAGAAAGAAAACCACGGATAAACCTAACGTTTTTAAAATTATTGAAATACAAATGTTTAATTTTTGTTCTAAGAAAAGGTTAAAGAATTCTATAATGAAAGAAATAAGCTGGTGTAAAACAACGTTCTTTACTATAAAACTAAATAATAACAAAACACTTAATTATTTTTTAAAAAAGGCGGTTACTTTTACTTGCTTTCTTTTCTAGTTATTTATCTTTTGTTTAATATTTGATATGAAAGTACGAATTTTTAAAATGTCTATATCATCTTGCTGTCCCATAAAATTTAAATTTAAGCATCTGCTAGTGCTTCCTTACAACTGACTTTGAATTGTAATTCTAAGGTGTCATCTTCTACAACATCGTCGTTACATTCACGGTTAAGAGATTGGTTTGGTCACACTATTGACTAGATCATCGTCGGCCATAAGTTCACAGTCCAAAACATTCGAGTCAATATTTAGCCACTCCAGAATATTCTCGTCATCCAGTTCCTCACAGCTCTGAACATTTTTTTATCGACTGAAACACATAAAGGTTCATCACTATCAATTTCATGTTCTTCAGCTGATTCATTGCATAAAATATTGTTAAAACATTTTTCAATTGTTGTAGCTTACACATTTTCCCCGGCATAAGACATGTTTTATACAGCATCTCGAAGCGTGATTGAGTTCCAAAACTGTAAAGTTGTTATCTTCTTCATTTGTTGCAATTACGCCCTGATCCATGGGTCGCATTTGGCAGACAACGCTTCAACTGGCGGATGAGATGGAGCATTATAAAGAAGCAATATTGCATTTTGAGGGAGACTTTTGCAGTCCACATATTTTATTTACGTGTGGAACAAATTTGTTTTTAAGCTACATTTCAAAAATGTCTCGTGTCATCCACGCAGAACGGTTGTTATAGTATCAGACTGGGAGTCTTTTTATGTCATTTAAAGCTCTAGGCGACTTTGACTTCTTTACTATAGCTAATTTCAGCTTATATTCTCCACTAGCATTTGAGCAACATAACACTGTAATCCCATTTTTACTAATTTTATAGCCAGGAGCAGTTTTTTCTTTAGCAGATGGTAATGTCCTCATCAGCATTGTATATTTAGGCAGATACTAAACCCCTCACTAAGCTGTTCTCCTTGAATTTGCAATTCTCTAATTCCATGCCTTTCTGTAAAACGTCGCAACCAACCTGTTGAAAGTGTAAGTCTATCAGTGATTTGTAACTTTCCTGCAAAGCATGGTGCTTTAGCTAACGCACGGACCGGACATCAGCTCTCCTAATGCTCTTTGCTGAAAAAAACACTTCATCATTACATTTTCCAGTTGCTCACTCTTCACGCCTTTCATTGTTTTCCTATGTGTAGGGCCAGCTGATGTTTCACACATAGAAACGAATGTTTCCAATTTCGGCTGCTATTTCATTAAATCACGTACGGTTTATTGTCCAACTCCATATTCGTCAGCCAGCAAACTGACACTTTCACCATGTTCATGTCTTTTAATAATTTCAAATTTTTTTCCACTGTTAAAACCACCCGTTTTCGCTTAGGAGCCATTAATACAGTACAACAACGCGCTACAGTACAGTACCTACAAAAAATTAGGCGTGGCGGAATACTTAAAGAATTTGTTGTTAAAATTAAACAATATATAAATCACAAGCACGGTTAATCCGAACCCCGGTTAAATGGTTCACGGATAATCGGCACTTTACTGTACACCTGTATATTGCGAGATATATGAAATTCTCGGTATACGTAAACAAACATAAACTCTTTATTTCTTGAGTTTAATAACACTTGTTTAGTGTTTAAATAATTATTAATTTATATTAATACATTTTTCCTCCAATGACGTCACGTTTCCTACCTCACTCCGTCAACGTCAATTTATTCGAGTTGGATAACCTTAATTATTAAGACTAATTAAAACTGTTTTTTTTTAATAAATTAAATCTAAATATTTTAATAAAAAATCTTAATTAAATAAATTTAAAATTAACAAAATTAATTTTTCCCCCCAAAAATTTAGTGATTTTAAAATTTTTTATATTGGCAGTTCCAGCCGTCATTTCAGCACCTGTCACCGGATTGGTTCGTTCGCGATATGTCGTAAACGTATCCCTGATTCGAAACTCGAGAAAAACGTTAAAAGTTCGTTATTATTAGAAAGGTAGTTTAGTGATATACACACAAAAGATTAATAAAGTTAAATAAATAAATCAATTAGATTAGTTAAAATAGTGAACGTTAGCCTTTCGGTTTGACTTCAAGTCGTATGTTGAGTGTTGAGAAATAACGTGTTTTAGTGAGGGTGAAGATTTTTTGACCACGTTAAACTCGATTATTTTATAAAAAAAACCACCGGTAAAATGGATGACTTTGTAAAAATTGAAAAAATCGGCGAGGGAACGTATGGTATTGTCTACAAAGGTAGAAATAAGAAGACTGGGAAGTTGGTGGCTATGAAAAAGATCCGGTAAGGTTTTAACTTACAACGCTTAAAGTTTAAGTACATTTAATTAAACGTTTTAAATCATTTCGTAGACTTGAAACTGAAGATGAAGGTGTACCGTCCACAGCAATAAGAGAAATCTCGTTATTAAAAGAACTTCGACATCCAAATATTGTTTTATTACAAGATGTTCTCTTAGAAGAATCAAGATTATACTTAATTTTTGAATATCTACCTATGGATTTAAAAAAATATATTGACCAACTTCCTAAAACTACCATGATGGATCCACGACTTGTAAAAAGCTATTTATATCAAATAAACAGTGCCATATTGTTTTGCCATCAAAGACGAGTATTGCATCGAGATTTAAAACCACAAAATTTGTTGATTTCAAAAGATGGTAGTATTAAAGTAGCGGATTTCGGTTTAGGAAGAGCGTTTGGTGTCCCTGTTCGTGTCTACACCCATGAAGTTGTTACTTTATGGTACCGAGCTCCAGAAGTATTACTGGGATCGCCTCGTTATTCTTGTCCAATCGATATGTGGTCCGTCGGATGTATTTTTGCTGAAATGACAACCAAAAAACCATTGTTTCAGGGTGATTCTGAAATAGATCAACTGTTTAGAATTTTTCGCGTCCTCCGTACGCCTACTGATGAAACATGGCCAGGCGTCAGCGCTTATCCCGATTACCATGCAACATTTCCTAAATGGAGCAACTATAATCTAGCTTCCCAAGTAAGCAATATGGAAAAAGAGGGATTGGAACTCCTCAAAGAAATGCTCATTTACGATCCAACGAAAAGAATTTCCGCTAAAGTCGCTGACACTCATCCTTACTTTCATAATTTGGATCGTAACGTTTTACCAGAGTTTTATGATTAGATTTTTTTTAAAATCATGTTGCCAAGAGGATTAAATTAAAACTTTTTTTTTTATTTTACGTTGTATAACTGTTCCATCATTTCACTTTAGGAAATAATTTAATAAGAAATGCCATAAAATACTTTTGAAAGAAACAGTCTCTCTTTAATTTACGTTGTATTACTTATTTACTTTTGATATAAATGCATTGATACTTTCTTATAAAACGTTGTATTTTTAAATAAATACCTAATTAATAACCATAATTATATTTTAAAAAGCTGCTCCAACTTTATTCTTAAGAATTTCGAAATGGTTTATGTCTACAACAAACTTTAATCAAAACAAATTACAGTTTCCAAGTTGAGTTGTGCTAAAAAATGTATACCAAACTCACAAGAAATATTATTAGCTAAATCCAGAAACTTCTGGGTACTTAGTATGATTAAAAAAACTGTTCCAATAAAGCACAATAACTCTTTACTATCCTTAACACATAGACTTTGACTGTAGAAGTATTTGACACTAATCTTACACTCATTATTGTAAAGAGAGAAATGGCCTTATATTAATTGAAACCAGCATAGAAATGATAGAGGTGGTATGATACCAAACGCCAAGCAACTCATTTTCAAGAGAAATTGAATAGATAATAAGATACACTGGGAAACGATATCATTATAAAGCATTGTAATGCCAAATCGAACATGTGGACGAACAGGTTTACTTGAAAAGTAAAACGAAAAAATGAGTTGGAATGGAAACTTTAATATTGAAACCAAAGCAGGGTAACCTATACTGATAAAATGAGAATGTAGGGATAATCAAAAGGCAGTAAAGCAATACAAACAGATTAATTAGAGTAAACGCACGAATAAATGGAGAAGAAGAAAAAGGAAATACTATTAGGCTGTATCAAGAAGCAAGAAAAATTAATTAAAACTAAAAAGCCTATTAGAGAGCCATGGTTATGAGACTATAGACCACTATAGACTGCCTAAGTCTGACGTCACAGAGATGGGCGATGCTTATACTGACCCCAAACAATTTCGTTGTTAACGATAAATCGCCAAAAAATGTCATTTGAAATGTCATCACTTAGTTTATTTTATTTTAACACTAATGAAAAATTGCGCATGGTGATTTACTGTTAGCAACGAAAATGTTTGGAGTCGGTATAAGCTCCACCCATCTCTATGACATCAAGGCTTAGGTTGTCTATTGTGAAGATCGTTGTTCCTGTTGATTCCCTTTGGAAAGGGGAAGACGTTTCGCCAAGATCTGGCATCTTTAGTGCGTTGTCGTATTCTCCTGTCGGCAGTCTGCCGACAACGACATGAAGATGCCAGGTCAGATCTTGGCAAAACGTCAGCCTCTTTCCAAAGCGGCACAGGGGCAACCCAACAGGAAGAACGGATGAAATCTCGGATCGACCACAACAACACATACTTCTCCAGCCGTGACGCGCTACGCATTGCCATTATATGGATAGATTTAGATATATGGGAAAAAACGAAATGTTTGTTGTTAAATGTAAAGAACGTGTTTGGATTCAAACTAGAAGATTTTCAGTATACCTCTTGAACAATGTTAGAAAAAAATTGCTACAATAGCAACAAAAAGTTTGTTAGTATGTCAGGTTAATATCTATGATATCAATTGTGAACGTGAAAACTGATAACAATGGGATATGGATGTAGAGGAACTAAAACAAACTATACTATTGTCGTCAAATTGTTGCATTATCTGCAAAACGAAAGTAATGTGTGTAGTTATTGCCCTGGAAAATCATTCAATACATGTATTATGGGCTTGCATTTTTTTTTCAACTATGACAACACTGAAAGCTTTTCATCAGAATCGAAAGTCTCTAAATTCGAATTTGATTGAAAATTCTCATATGTAGAAGTACTTTATTCTTGGTAGTTTATTTCTTCTTCTACACTGATACACATTTTTAACATATTAACAACAGTAAATGTTATAAAAATCACATGCACCACAAGCGTAATATAATGCAATATAAAGAGATAGTAGCCGACATCACTTCCTGCTAAGGCACTACAATTTACTCCATTAAGGAAATAATACCTGTTCTTGTTGTTTTCCTTCTAGGTTAGTTTTAATCTACTTTACCTATAAGCTATCTTGCCAGATGGAGTCGAAAACCTGTTCTACATCTTATAGCACCGTATTAATTTCTTCTAGGGAAATTTCAACGTGCTTTCTCTTCAAGTTTTTGTTGCAGTCATAATTGTCTAGCAAATAGTGTCCAATTTCCGGGATGCGATGAATTTTCTTCCGTTTTCCACGAGTTTGTGAAATAGATCCTTATTTAAGCAGATTTAAACAGATCATTATTTCTATTACGCCATCTACAAATATATTTTCCGGCCAAAGTTGTTATCAACGAAAAGAGCAACCTTCTACTAGGTGTTAGGTTTTCTTTTTTCATAATGTCCAACCGAGAGAAAGATAGATGTATGGAGCCTAGAAAAGTGACAGAAATGCATCAATAAACATAATCACGGACAATCGGGCCGCCCAAAAGGCAATTCAGGTTTACACGTGTGTAATCAGAGAGTGTACCAGCAACCTAAGAGAACCCGCTAGGGACAATGATGTGGAATGACGGGTTGAGTTCCAGGTAACAAAGACATTGAGGGCAATGAAAACGCCCTTTATTGGACCCCAACCCGGCTGTACACTACAAAAAAGCCACTTAAAACAGGCAGTCAATTACGTTACGATACTTACGCTAAAAAGAACTTCCAGATTACAGACAGGTGAAGAGTATGATAACCCCATCGCAAAACAAAAGCAGAGAGGTTTTATACTTTAGCAAAGGAGATCTAAGGTCGCTCTCAGGCATCCTGACCGGTCATGCGCCCCTAAAATACCACGTCTTTCATATTAGACAAGCTGAGCATCAAACTTGTCGACATTGCAAGGACGAGTCGGAGACTGCTGAAGATATACTGTGTGAATGCGTCGCCTAAGACACAAAATTTTCGGTAAAGTTCGCCTGACACCTACCGACATAAAGGAGCAATACTAAAGTTCATCAAGAACCTACATTTGTCCTAAATCTTCGGAGGGCTTAAATTAGAGATCCAAAGGAGCAACCCGAACGGAAGACTAAGCGAAGAGGATGTGTGGTCCCGAAATGAAACAAGATTAAAGAAGTTATTTCTGATCTGTTTACGATATGGAAGCAGTGTTATTTCTAGCATATATAGATGATGTAATAATCAACTGGTGGAAAGAAATAACAAAACATGACCTCATAAGATTTCATATACTGAGAGGCAGTGAAGAGATAAGCGAGCTTCGATAGTCCCATTCACAGATTCTGTAATTAATAGAGTTGTGTTGGACTGATTTATGGATACGCGTTATGATGTAAAGGAAAATAAAGTAGAACAACATTATTTTGACCATCTTGTATAATAATTACAAAATAAGGAAGCATGCCAACATTAAATTGTGTGATCATCACATTCAATGGGTACAAGAAACAAATTAAGAATCGTGACACCAACATTTAGTAAAATTGTTACTAATGCTAAATTAAATTATTAGCCAAACAAATTTGCTGAAATATTAAATTATACAGGATTTCCCAAAAATCCCGGGACGGAGCTATAAGGTTTGAACGAGTGAAGAAAAAAATTTGATAATTTGGGGATCACTAAAGAGTCATAAAAACTACATTCTTAGATAGTTTAGAACTTTCATGCAATGTGGAGTTCTTTTAGGGGATGACCACCCCTACATTTTTAAATAGCAACCCATGTCGAGTTTTACCTTATTTTAAAGGTAATTAAAAAGGAAATACAATCCCATAAACCAAAACCCAATTATGTACACTGAAATAAGATTTTAGTAGTGCTTAAAATTATTATTAATAGAAAAGTTGAAAAATAAAATAATCAATTTTAAATTTACGTACATTTAATCCCAGTATATTAATAAGTTGACAAAAATTATGAGTTGCCACAATATTTCCTGTACTGGTATACAAATTTTCCAAACCAGCTCCAAGTTGTAATTTAAAAGCATTAACTGGTCCGCGATAATCCAAATTATTAGTTAAACAAATAAGAAACATAATAAAAACATCAAATTCACTAAAATACATGACATTAAGTAAAAAATAAATAAATCAAAACATTCATTTTTTTACCTAAGAATTTTTTCTTCAATTAAATTCATTGACGAAACAACCACGAAAGCAAAATGTAAAGAACAAAACGCTAACTCCCAATTATGAAACGACAAATCATGAAACGCAAATTTGACGTGTAAAATAAATTTGGCAAATTTCTTGCGATCGATTTTAAAACGACCAAGTAAATTAAAATTTTCAAAAATCTTCATAACAAACCCACACATATCACATAACATCACCTCCCTTGGGTCGAATTCAAAGAAATCCATATCCATATAATTATTGTGAGTGCAACTTAATATTTGCTCAACAGACGCATCATCAAATTTAAAGTAATGTGTTAGCATTCTATAACCAAATTGACATTGCTCTTCTAAATGTTTTGCGTTATAATATAGAATACATTTTGATATGAGTGCCCCACAAGTATCTTCCAACATATTCAAAACAAGAAAATCTTGATACGTGTAATCACCACTCCGTTTATTGTATAAAAGAATAACAGCAACTAATTGATCTTTATAAAAAATCGGGCATGAAAACATACATTTTACTTTTATATGACGATCGTGTTCTAGTAAGTCTTCTTGATTTCTTTTAATTATAATCGATAACCCTGTTCTGGCCGAACGACCAACAATTCCATCATAATCTCTTAAATACACAATATGAATGTCATCGTTAATCGTACTAAACATTCGAGCTTTTAAATCATCATCAGGATCGATTAAATAAAAACAACCATCCATCGAATGCGTTAATTCAATAGTGTGCTTTAAAACGACTTTAACAACTTCATTAAGATCAGTGAAAATTGAATAAAGTGTTCCAATCAAATTTAAAGTCGCTTCAGTGACTATTCGATTAAATAATTCCAAATCATATATGATCGTTTGTGTTAATGTTGGTAAAAAATAACGGAATGATTCGCTAACGAATTGCATTACAAACATTATATCATCAGACGGATCTATTATGGAGAATAAAAAGAATTTTATTGCTAAAAATTATTTCATTATTTATTTTAAAATTATTTAATAATCAAAATAGAAAAAACCTGAATCTTCTGGTGGAAAAATAGGTATAGATGTAATTACACCTTCAGTGTGAATAAGCAACTCTTCAAAACATCTATGAAGTTCCGGATGTAAAGGTCCTAAAGGACCATTTGTATTCGACAAAGATTTTATATACAATTCCTCAACTACATTACTACCTAAAAAAACTCTATAAGGATATTTTAATTTTCTCGTTCCTATTGCTCTAATTTGAGCTTCATCATCAATAAATGTTGTTAAAAAAGCACATTTTGTTGGTAGTTCTTTCATAAACTATAAAAGAATGAAATACAAATTTGTATATTGATATTTAAAAAGATTAATACGTATTTATTTAATTGCTTCTCAATACCAGCTGCTGTACGATGAGAAAACGTTGAAAGTAAATAAATAATCTTTGAAGGATCAGTTTTTTCTAAGCGGAGCACTGGCTTATTTTCATTTCGAATTTTCTCTAGGATTTCTTTACATCTTTCTGGTACAGCGTATGGTTCTTTAAAAGATTGTCTTACTGGTTTTATTCTTGGTAAAAATTGCATTTTAAATAATTCACTAAAATTTTGTATAAAAAATAAGTGTTGTCAAATTGACTTTGATTTATTTATGTATTTATAAAAAGAATGTTTCTTTCCGTCTAAATAACCATTGTAAGTAATATAAGTAAAATGTAATTCTTTGTAAGTCCTCATTTCGATTGTGTGGGTATAAAAACATATTTAAAAAAATCCCAATACGTTCATTAGCATTTATTTTTCAAATCTAATCAATTTTATAGAAAAGAATGCTTTTTTTTTGTATTTAACCCAGTTGTGTAAATATGAAAGCAAAATTAGTCCATAGATGGCCTTAGCTAGCAATATTTTAGTTTAAGTGTTTTGTAATTCTGAACAGTTCTGAACCTTTCTGATCATACATGTGGTCTGTACTTTCGATTAATTTTGAATTTTTACGCAAATACGTCTAATATGCAATATATATAGTTCAGAACTATTCAGAGCTCTTAAACGAAAATAGGCTTATTGGCGTCAAAAAACATAAGGAATGTTACGTAAGGTTAGTTCTGTTTACAAACATTAATTATAGCGTGAAGTTTTCTTTAGTAATTAGTAATGCCAATTATAGCGTGAAGTTTTCTTTTGAAATGCCAATTACACCGTGAAGGAATGTTAAGTAAGGTTAGTTTTGTTTACAAACATTAATTATAGCGTGAAGTTTTCTTTTGAAATGCCAATTAAACCGTGAAGGAATGTTAGGTAAGGTTAGTTCTGTTTACAAACATTAATTATAGCGTGAAGTTTTCTTTAGTAATTAGTAATGCCNTTACCTGCGCCATTCTAAACCAATATTCGAACGATTCGAACTGAGAACCCTGAGAACAGAACACTAGAACAAGATGTGACGAACGCTAACGCGTCACCGCGGCTTGGCACATGCGCATACGTTCACAGGCGCTGATGAAGATATTCCAGACATGTTTCAGACACATTTGTAGCGAAATGTTTCAAATGAAATGTTTCTGCTACATATTTTAATGATATTTCATAAATATTTCTACTGAAATGTATTTGATACATATCTTTAGATACGTTTCGTAAAAATAATATCTGTCACGTATATGAAACGTAGTTCTAAGATGTTTCATTTAATTCACTATACGTTAAAATTGAAATGTTTCACAGAGGTTTCTTGTTTACTGGGATTATTGCTGCCGCTTCCATTTGTTGACAGAAATATGTAATGCAATTGTAACTATTCTAAAGGATAAATAATAAAAGGTCAAAAATTTTTTTTCAAAATTAGAACTATATACCAAAAATTATCAAATAATCAATATTATGAATCCGTATATATTATTGGTTTTGTATCAATTTCCTCAGGATCATTGTATATAGGCGATAACACTGTTGATTGAGATGGCTGTTCCAATGCTGCCATAGATTTGTCCCGATTATAAATCGACATTAGCCTTTGATTAACCATCGCTGATATGTCAGATTGTAACTGCAAGGCATCTCCCATGCGAATTCCTCTTAGCTGGGAGGCTATTAACTTCCCGAAATGATCAAAAACGTCTTCATGGGAGATGTTGCATAACGAAGTTCTTGTCGAATCGATTTCCTTTTCGGTATTGGAGGTGTAAACTCGTTTTCTTTTTTTCTCAACTGGTATCGATATACTTGGAGATGTCAGCGTAATATCGTCTTTTGAATCTTCAATTTCTTCAAACAAAATTTGCTACAACAAATATTAATATAATTTACAAATTGTAAAACATAGAGATGTATTGCTGTATATTATATAACTTTATGTAAAGTAGTAATAAATCCTAAGAACCTGAATACTTGTCGTTTTTACGATTGCTTACTGGCATGGGTACATTCCAGTGCCAGTTCACATTATGCCCAGTTCACATTATTCCAGTCCAGTACTCCAGCAAGTCAATCAAGTCCAGTGCTGAACTGGATCATATCGTTTACATTATTCCAGTCTAGTAACCCAGCTAGTCACTCCAGTCCAATGGATTCTTAATCGATTCGTTAAGAATTTGCAATTAAGCACTGGATTGGTGGTCTACACTATTCCAATGGCGCTGGAATGTGCGAGCTGGAATGAAAAAGTAGACCGTCGATCCAGTCACTGGAGTGAATTGTTTACTGGAATGGATACATTCCAGTGCTGGTTCACATCACTCCAGCAGCATTCCAGCGTAGGCTTCCAGCGCTGGACTGGAATAATGTGAACCGGGCATTATTCCAGTAGCATTCTGGAAGTAGACTGGAATGCTACTGGAACAATGTGAACCGGGCTTTATTCGATAGTTTAGCAAAATTGAAGACTTCTATAATTTTTTATCTTTCAAACTGGGTTTTAGTTTTTCCAAAAGAAAATAATGAAAATTTGAAAAACTTTGGAGACGTCACCGTCGTTTCGTACGCTGTTGGTTGAGATAAGAATCAATAAAAGGTGCATGAGCGAGATGCCACGAGAATCTGGCAGAAGAAGGCAGTATTTAACTTACTGCGTTCTTGTCGGTATTGATTTTTTAAGGTTAAAACGTTCTCCGCTAGATGAAGGTGTTGGTATACGCACACTTGACCTTCAAAATTAAATACTTGCGGGGTTTTTGTTGTCACAGAATCGTCTTGAATTTCGTTAAAGTTCGTATTATGGGTTTATTTTTCGAAAATAGGGGTTACCTGCGAAACATCCGGCCGTACTATAATGGTTATATTTATATCCAGAAATATCCATTACCAAATTGTCTTTTGTACCGCACATTGAAGATATTCTGCAGCTAGGACGCTTGGTTTCGTTTTGCGCACCTCGCGTACCTTTTCTGACATCGGCTCTGTAATTTGGTCGCTACAATATGTGTGTCATAGACTTATATTGGAAAGAATTCAGAGGATTTCTCAAAATTTGTCTCTACGTTTGAACGGATCATACCCGGATCGTGAAACTGATTGAAACTGACGCATCCCTGCTGTAATGCCACAACTTTTGTGCACTGGACGTGAGAAGAGATAACCAGTGTATCAAGTTTTTACAGAAGTTAGTGCAAGGTGAATTACGTAGCACCAATGAGTTTTATCTGAGGAATTGCAGATCCAATGTTTTAGCCAACTCCCTGGTGCAGAGGATGTGTAAACTAACTAACAATAATAGTGTAGGAGTGTCTATGTGAATTATATTTGTTTTATAGCATGTGTCAATAAAGTGAATTATTATTAATATGATGAAGTGTGTTAGTATCAAGAAATGCTAGAGAAAAAGCTACCAACATTGGTTAAGCAAAAAACAAGATTTTTTAACAGAAATAATGAAAATAATATCTTATTATATTTATCTTATTTAGCATATAATAAAGAAAACGAAACGATAACATTGGACTGTTTCTTACATCTTCTGCAGAAGACATGCTTGATTCCATGCGCATCAGTTCATCAGATGGCGTTATTGGGTCTGAACTTTTCGTAGGTGAAGATACTTCTGATGTTTCTTCATCTTGTATGCACTGTACAAATTCCAGCATTGGTTTTTTTGTGCGTTGACTAACAACCTTCGTAAGCTTCTTATGTGGTACAACGTCTCGTTTTAATAGGAGATTAGTGCCTTTAAAATGCTTAAAATATCCAAAATTTTGGGAGTCGTTTTCAAGCTGAAATTTAATATTATGATTCAAAAATATATTAATCGATTATTATTGAAACATACATCAAAGTGTTCTTCACAGCACACAAGATTAGATTTAGTAGTTGGATTTCTATCTAAACCCACTGCATCAAACCACTTTTTTCGACGTTCTTCGTTTTGAGGAACACTTAGGAAATATAGCCGTGGATTATTTGTTTTAGTGTTGTCACAACTTGGCACAAAACACGTAGTTAACGGAGTAGTCATCGCACTTTGGAAATATTGAGCAATTTTTGTTATCTTACTCTCTTTAAACCTCTATTTTTAGGAAGAGTGGAAAATATCTGTTTTAGACAAAGACCTTTATGGCCTTAAAAATTGTTCAAATTCTTAGGTAGTTTTTTCCACTGTTCCCTTTAAATCTTTTACTTTTTATTTGGTATTTTCTAGATGTAAAAAATAACTTGTTAAAAATTATTTCTTTCTAGATCATATTAATTTATTTAACTTACTCAATTCGGAATGCCCTCACTTCTTTAATTAATCTTAACATTAATACCGGTAATATCCTTTCAATAATTCATAATAATATATTACAAATAAGATACTTTTTACACACATTACAACACTGGAATAACAATATTTATATCAAATTGTTCTTTTTGGGGTTAGGTTATAACAGAAATTCATCACAACACGGAGGGCGCCACATTCTCTTCGACTAGGAACGATGCACGTGTGTGTCTTCTTGAACTTACGCGAAAACTTCGTAAACGTCACCAAAGCTTTTATAGAGGGGATTTTGAATTTTAATATTAATTATTGCATAAATTAAACAATTTTAGAATCTGAAAATGTTACCAATCCTTCTATTCCATTGCGGGTAACGGCCCCATTATCGCCGTGTTTACATTTTGGATAAGAACTCATTCTGCGATAAAGTATCGTATTCACTCAAAGAAGTCAGTGTGGTCACTGTTTGGCCACAGAACAGTAGTAATAGCAAACGTTCATCGTTCGGATCTCTTCTTCTAGCGCATAAGATTCTCGTGGCATCTCGCTCATGCACTTTTTATTGATTTTTATTTCAACCAACCGCGTGCGAAACAACGGTGACGTTTCCAAAGTTTTTTTCTAATCTTTTATGTTCGAATTTTGAACATAAAGATTATTCTGTTCTATACTAACATTCATTAAAACCTTGGGCTAGTTTTCTGACTCCTAAATAAACTGTAAATTGTGTGGATGTACACTGGGGCCTAAGTGCTGTGAAGGAATTCACCCCCACATCAAACTACATACATACCGAACGTTTATACTTCCAATAAAATATAGCAATAAATACTATAAAACAATTACCTGTGTTGTTTGTACTTCCAAATTTAATGTTGTTTTTCGTGGAATTATAACACCATCTAAAAAATTCATGTGCTCGAACCATATTACCGTTGGACGGTACATAGTATCAGCTCCATTTCCCGCGAGTAAACTATCCTTTATTTTCTTTTTCTCGAGCAAATACGTTGCTCGTATTGAGGTAATCTTTTTCTTAATGGTTTCCTCGTTGTAATTCAGCGATTTTGCTATAAATCTTAAAGCGTCTCTACGCTCTGCATGATTATTATAAAACGGCGACTTTGTATTCCACAAACATTCCTTTTTTCTATACAAATCAATTAAATTTAGAATTTGTTTTTCACTAAACGCAATCCGTTTCACAGTTTTCACCATTTTGTTTCGCTACTGCTATACCAAAGGTAGAAAATTCTCTAATGTTAACAATCACTTTTATAACAGTCAACTGCAATGGCGTATGTTTAACGCCAACTGTTAAATCACGCCCCCTTGTAAGTACTGCGACAGCAGTCGATTGCTACATATAGCGCCACACAGTGGTCAATTTCTTAAATTTAGGTGGACAAAATATAAAAATTTGTCATTTGCTGTATTTGTTAACACAATGTAGTGTTAGTTCTAGTTTCAGTTGTTATTCAGCGTCATTGTTGATAATAAAATTCTGATATTAAATTTAAAAAAATACTACTATTATTTATTATTATTATTGCTACCAGGCTGAGGGAAGCAGCCCCTCTCATCACCGCGACCTATAAGATCTATTGAAAATTTTGAGTCTTATTCCACGAGTTCTCTCAGGTTACTCTCTGATCAGTGCGGAGTCACATGTGTAGGCCTGAACTGCCTTTAGGGCGGCCCGACTGTTTGCGAAAATGTTTATCGATGCACCTTTCTGTTGCTTTTCTAGGTTTAAAACCGATCTGAGGGACAATTTAATGCGGCTATTTGGTCCACTAATTCCCATATCTACTCCGGATCCAACTGTTTTTGAAGCATCGGTGTAGCAGGCCAGGGCCCCTCTTTTAAGTTGAGGCTCACCCTTCGCCCAATCATCCCTTCTATATATGACCTTATACGGCTCGAAATTATATCCTGTCGGTATAAGGTTCGTTTTAATTTTAATCAAGTGGTTTAGACATTGGTCCTTGAGGATTTCAAGGTGTCCTCTGAGGTTACCCAAGCATCAACTTGAATGAAGAAAATGTTTTCAGTGATAATGTAGTTAAAGTTGCCTCCTGTTGTATGTATAAATGAAGTGGTGTGAGACCAAGTAGGGCTTCAAGAGCAGTTGTTGGAGATCTCATTGGTATTGAGATCTTGTTATATATGTCTTAATATAGCTAACCGCTGGATTTGTGCCAGCTGTTATTGTGCTGTCTTCCCAGTAAACAAGAAACCTCTGTGAAACATTTCAATTTTAATGTACAGTGAATTAAATGAAATATCTTAGAACTACGTTTCATATACGATTTTTACGAAACGTATCTAACTACACACATTTCAGTAGAAATATTTATGAAATATCATTAAAATATGTAGCAGAAACATTTCATTTGAAACATTTCGCTACAAATGTGTCTGAAACATGTCTGGAATATCTTCAGCACCGCATGTGAACGTATGTACAAACATTAATTAATGTTTGTAAACAGAACTAACCTAAGGTAACATTCCTTCACGGTTTAATTGACAGTTCAAAAGAAAACTTCACGCTATGATTGGCATTACTAATTACTAAAGAAAACTTCACGCTATAATTAATGTTTGTAAACAAAACTAACCTTACGTAACATTCCTTCACGGTTTAATTGGCATTTCAAAAGAAAACTTCACGCTATGATTGGCATTACTAATTACTAAAGAAAACTTCACGCTATAATNTACCTACTCTTATACTTACTTTATTTGTCCTAATCAATGAGAAAACAGAATCGTAGAAATTATTGATTGATAATTATGAAATTTGGCACAGTAGGCGTAAGTAATAAGTATAGCACTTCTATTATTAGTTTTCCTACCTTAAGGTATGATTTTGTTGCAGCATCCACCGTCTGCGCCCCGGGTGGTATGCTCAGAAATGCTTCCTCAGCATATGCATGTGTTCTGATGAAGCATGTATGAGCATGTTGTCTGGGATGCAGATGCTAAAGGCCAACAAAATTATATCTTCAAGTTTTCTGAAACGTCAACGAAACCTTTCAGAAATTATTTTTAAATGTTTATGATACATACTAGTAATGTAATGTAAACGTAAACAAAACATTTCAGAAATAATTCAAAACCGTTATTGAAACATTTTAGTAATGTACCGTAATTGTCAACTGTATGTTGCAGAAACATTTCAATAGAAACGTTTCAATGAAACATAAAAAGGGCCGGACATTAGCAGTTTCAGACACGTTTCACCTATGTTTCAGAAATATGTCGAAGAAACATTTCATGTTTCAATAATATGTATCAGAAATGTTTCTGAAACGCAAATTTGTTTACTGGGTTGTGTTTTGTTTTTGGCCACCAAATCAGTGAGGCATAGACGACCATGGCCATGGGCGGTCTTGGACTGATTATTGCTATGTAGGCTATTCATAGTATAAACTGGAGTTCTGTTTTTTTCCTTCCAAGAAGACTGCGTCAGATCTGCGTCTTGACTAAGTGGGAGTTCCAGTTTAATTAACTGTCTAGTATTACCCCTAGGTATTTGACTTCAGTTTTGGGGTTCATAGTTTTATCTTTAATGGAGGGTGCTCTCAATTGTAGCTTCCTTCACCGAGTAAAAGGGACTATTTCGACTTTGTTTGGATTAATGCTGAGCCCATTACTTCTGCACCAAGTGACAGCAAGTAGTGGCTTTCTGCATTAGTTGGGTTATGATTGTGTCATATTTACCTCGGATTGGGATCACCAAGATTAGAGGTTGTCTTGGTGATCCAGTGCTTTAATAGTCAACGACTCGCCTCCCAGACTGGCTGTGATCTGCCGGCTTTTCAGCATGGTTATACACCATTTGGTTATCGACGGATGTATGTCTTTTACGTTTAGAACTTTTTCTATAGATTCGTAGGAGGTGTTATCAAAAGCACCTTCTATGTCTATGAAACAACATAGGGCTATCTCTTTGTTGCAATTGTCTCCTCTAAACTGCTTATTAAAGCATGGAAAGCAGCGGAAAGCAGTAATTGTTCATTTTTCTTTCTGATAAGCATGACATCTAACTAACGCCATCTTTTACCCGGAGATCGTTTCGATTGACAACTGGGGACTCACAGTTAATGTTAACGAATACAACGAAAAATTAAATAATTTTTTAATAAATATAAACACTTAAAAGAAAACATTCAATTAAATTAGCTTCAAATAATAATAAATTTAAATGAATGACGTTTAGAAATATAAAATGCCGATAAAGTAGATATTGATTATTAAAGTTACAAAATTAAAGAAAATTAATTAATAATATTTTTGTTCCAAAAACGAATAATTAATGTAATTAAAGATTTAATTATTTATTAGTTTTAATAATTTAATAATCAAGCTTATAAAGCATAGATGTCGTAATTCCCTTAAGCGTTGTTGCCGAATCCAACAATAAATATATGTGACAACGCCGCGCGTTCTATCAGCCGCTACTTTTTAATAGTTCGCTTGTTGTATCCACCGCGTTATGTATTGAAGAGATAAACAAAATTCATTATAATGACGAAAATTAGTATTCCCATTCAGTTTGTGCCGTTAAAAAGCGTCCTCATGTTTCCATTGACGCGAAAACCTTAAAACAACGGGGTTTTCCGTGACAAGGTGTTTGGGCGAAACTGGCTTATTTTGGCCTCAATATCATTATTCGTTCACACACTTTACTCTTCCTTCTCCGAAGACTCCCGTACTCAGATGTAACTAGAATTAAACAAAAAAAATATAATTAGAGCGTTTGCTTAACAACAAAATGGTAAGTCAATTTATCAATTGTTTGAATTTTTATTAATTACTAATGTGTCTTTGGATTGTGTCTATTTGACTAATTGTAGCAAGGAGACGATCCCCCGTATTTGTCCGAGGGGACCGCTGTTAGTGCTAAGTATAAAGGTGCATTCTGTGAGGCCAAAGTGAGCAAAGTTGTGCGATTGGTAAAATGCAAGGTAATTATTTTTTATTGAATTTGTCGTTTGATTAATCGAGGTTTATTTAACGTTAAACTATTAAGGTTACTTTTAAAATGGGTTTGGGAACAGCCACCGTTCACGACGATAACATTAAAGGAACGTTAAGAGTAGGACAAATCGTACAAGCTAAACACCCGGAAAAAAAAGAATTTTTCGACGCTACAATCACTAAAGTACAAGATTGTAGTCAATACACCGTTGTCTTTGATGATGGCGACATCACAACGTTAAAAAGGACGGCACTTTGTCTGAAAAGTGGTCGACATTTTAACGAAAGTGAAACCCTGGATCAACTTCCGTTAACCCATCCCGAACATTTCGGGAATCCTGTCGTTGGAGGGCGGAGAGGGCGCAGAAATAGACAGCTTAAGTGAGATTAGAAAGCACTTACATGTAAATTTCTAGTTGTTTCTTACAAAATTCATCATCTTTTAGGGAAGATAGTAGCGAAGGAGAACAAGAAGAAGATAATGAACCCGATCTTGAACTCTATACTGCAGATATTGGTCGTGTTGTTAGTGTGGAATCTAGTGAGAAAAAACGAAACAAAGATAATTGGTTTCCAGGACTTATTGTGATGCCTTCTGCTCAACCCACAGTTAAAATCAATATGAAGGATGAATTTTTAGTTCGATCTTTTAAAGATGGACGATAGTAAGTACTTTATTTAATGTACTTTGTTGGGAATTGAGCTGTCAACTTACTGAATATTTAAGTCTTTTTTACTTAAGTCTCCTTTAATTAATTCTGGCTCTGAATAATACGAATTGTGGCGCTTTGCTGGTCTTGAGATGACTTGTGTGTAATCATGTGTGAGTGCATTGAAGTGAAAACGACTGCAGAACGAATATGTTTAAAGAAATTTGTAAATAACAGTTTAGTGTCTCTGCTTTGATCTTCTGATAAATCGTTTATGTGATTCTTATGACTGTTAAGTCTATAATTGTTATTTATATACAGGCGAAAGTTGTCCTGTCTTAATGTAAATAGAGATTTTTTTTACTTTTATCAATCTAGTTCCCTGAATTTAAGCAACAAAATTCAAATTAACTGATTTATTTAATCAGTAGTGTTGATTACTGTTGAGAGCCAATAAAATATACACTAGTAAGTTAGATAACTTAACCAGCCTATATTATAGTATGTTGCATGAATCATTCTACAGATTACAGGGTACTAGTAATGACCAACGTTTTTTTAACATTCTTATGTTACAACTTATAATATATTATGTTAAATTTTGTTAAATAGTTATATTAGGTATTTTATATTATGACAGTTTAACAAAATGTGTTTTACTGGCACATTATAGTATGTTGCATGAATCATTCTACAGATTACAGGGTACTGGAAATGACCAATGTTTTATTAACATTCTTATGTTACAACTTACAATATATTATGTTAAATTTTGTTAAATAGTTATATTAGGTATTTTATATGACAGTTTAACAAAATGTGTTAAAATAATAATTTATTTTTTCTTTTCATCATAAATAATCTCATTGTTGTACAGGTCAAAGAAATAAGCTAAATTTTGTAAAACAAACATCCCAGTTATAAAATCCTAAAATAGATGTTTCTGATCATTCTTGTTTTAACTGTTCCATCGCTTTTAGTCGTTGCTATTAAAGTTAGAAAGTGTTATTACACTTTTTTTGAGATATGCAAGTATAACATATTTCTTCTTGAGGCACATGTGAAAGCGAAACAGTGCTCATATTAATTCATATTTGAGTTATTTTAAAAGTTTAAAGAAAAATTTTGAATTAAGAGTACCATTAAAGTCTTTATTTACTAATCATAATGCAACTATCAATCGTACTCTTGAGGCTAGTTATCAAATTTCATTACACATCGCTAAATTGGGGAAAAATCATACCCTAGAGGAGGATGTAATCAAACCCTCAATATCAGCATTTCTCAAAACGGTTATAAAAAATCATGATAAAGATATTAAAGTTAAGAGTTTGAAAGAAAATATTGTAAAGCTGAAAACAAGAACATTTTCCCTGCAAATAGATGAATCATCTTTGAGAAACAGTAAGGTTGTACTTTTGACTTATGTAAGATATATTGATAAAGGTGATTTTGCTGAAGAAATGTTGTTCTGTAAATCGTTAGAAAGCACCACTGCCTCCAAATATATACAGGATGTTTCTCAATTTATGAGAAAGATTTCAAGAGGTGATTTTTCAGCAAAAATTAAGGGGTGTCTTTTATATAACTTTTTGTTCAAAACCCCTTCTCCTCCAAGTTATACAGTTCGCTTCAAAAGTAACGGGTCTAAAGATTTAAATTTTTTTCGCCATTTTTAAGCGAGTTATGACGTCATCGAAGTTTTTTTTTTTAATGGAACACCACATTTGTTATAGTAGAAATCACGAGAGCTGGCAGTGACAGATCGCTTAAAAATGGTATGAATCAAGATATGGACGTACGACTTAGATTATTTCGCCACATACATTTAAATGTAGGTTATGTTAGTAATGGAGGTTATATGTCAAACATTGTCAAAAATATTATTTAATGATTTTCCTTTCAAAGAAAACATTTTCGGTTTGTGAAAACACTAACAGATTCATGACAACGCTCACAAGACGTTTCGATTTGAAGTTATAATTATAGAGTGACATCCCTTAGAAGAACAGACGTACTTTTTCGACGTGGCCATTTGAATTGTACAGCAGACATATTAAACTAATACTATCTCTTTCCAACACACATTACTCTCTAGCGGTTTGTGAACTAGGTATGGCATTTGTAAGAGCAGAAAATGATGATTTACTGCCAGCTCTCGTGGCGTCTACTATATATCGGAATTTGAAAGAGGATTTTTTTCTGAATTATGTACAATAAATATTAATATCGGTTACATAAGAAAATTTTCGTAACCATGACAACCAATTGTTTTGATTTAAAATTTCCAAGTGTCAAAATTCGATTTGAAACAGTTTATTGTGCGTTAATGAGATTATTTTGAGTGGTATTGTGGAGTTTCTTGTGTTAATTGTTGTTATTAAAACGCAAATTGTTAGTTTGATCACAAAAAATAAAAAAATTCTGAGATCAATTTGACATAATTTCATTTCTTTGACTAACAATAACCAATTTCTGAATTAATTCATTTGAGCTTGTGTATTAGTTTATTTTTTTGTGATCAAACTAATAATTTTAGGAGAAAATATCAAGAGACAAAAAAGTTGCGTATTGAATCCCTCTATTTAAATCATGTTTTTAAATAGAAAAATGTAGGCGCATTAAAATGTTTTGATGTTGATTATTTCAGCCCCTTCTAAAACATTTTCGGACTATAAAAATCGTTAAAAAGTGTCATTTTATTAGCAAAAGTTATCTGCCAAATTTCATTCTTCTAAATTCTTCCATAGTGGATTTATTAAATAAAAAAAAACAATTTTTTTCCGCAACTTTAGAGTGCTGTAATTCGGTGGCGAAGGGGTTTTGAACAAAAAGTTTAATTTTGAAATCACTCTTTGATATCTTTGAATATCATGAATTTAGAAACACCTGTATATAATAAGCTAAAAGATTACTTAGATGTCAACAACATTCCAATGAAGAATATAACATCATGTGCTGCAGATGGTACTCCTAATATGACGGGGAAGAAAAATGGTTGTCTAAAATTAATGAAAGATAAAAATCCAGAAATGCTTCTTGTTCATTGAGCAAAAAATTTAGTTTTTGAATAATAAAAATCATGTATATGTTGAGTGCATAGTAATTTTTTAAAGGTTTAGGTGGGGCATAGCACAAATAAGGTTGGAAAACACTGCACTAGAATATTATGTTTATTACTGCCTCTGCACAAGTATGTTTTCTATTGATTTATTTGAAAAATAAGACTTAAATTACATATTACAACTTAAGTAAATAAAATGATTTAAATCATCTTGATGTGACAGCTCTGGTTGGGAATATATTTTTATTTATCTTATAATGATATTTTTAGTTACACAGTGCCTAAAAAAGAAGTAACCGAATTTACTAAAGAATTAGGTGCAAAAGTTGAAAATTCCATTTTGGCTGAAGCCGTTGAAAAAGCTTTAAAATATTTAAATGAAGATTCTTTACCTGATCATTGGGAAAAAAGTATTTTGTTTAATCCACAAAATCAATATACGGATTCAGAAGAAAATTTCACAGACGTATGTTTTTATAATAAATCTGCGTTTGTTTAAAACTAATTTTTTTCTTCTTTGATTGTTTAGAGTTCTGATGATGAACCACGTGAAGAAAAAGACCATTTCGTAGCCCAACTTTATAAATTTATGGATGATAGTGGAACCCCTTTAAATAAAAGCCCAATGATTGGGAGTAAAGATGTTGATCTTTACAGACTCTTCCGCGTTGTTCACAAAATTGGTGGTTACAATAGGGTTACAAATCAAAATAAATGGCGAACAGTTGGGTTACGCTTAAAGTATTCCAACAACCAAAACACATTTAATCAAGTTAAAGCAGTCTACAAAAAATGTTTGTACTCATATGAGTCCTTTTATCGAACTTTAGGTTGTACGATGTCCGATCATACGAGAAGTTCCAAAAAGAATAGAGGTCGACCTTTAATACGGGATAAAGATCGTGTTACCCCCGTTCAAAGCCCTCGACCTGATAGCGTAAAAGAAGAAATCGAAGAGAAAAAGGAAGAAATTGATGAAAAAGACAAAGATAATAACAAATTAAAAGTAAAGAAAGAGGAGAAAAAGAAAAATAGTGAAAGTAGCGATCAGAGTATCAGCGAAAATATAGAAATACGTCATTCTCCAATAGAACCGGTTGTTGCAAGTACTTCTAAGGAGGTCGTTAAGGTTAAAAAACCTGATACACCAAAACCAATTAAAGAGAAAAAGGGAAAAATTATCGAAAAGATTAAAGAAAAAGATGAGAAGAAAGAAAAGGAGAAAGAGAAGGAGAAGGAACGGGAAAAAGAGAAGGAAAAAGATGAGAAAAGCGATAAAGAAGAAAGGACTCAGCAGAGTACAAGAACGAAATTTCCTTCTTTGAAAGCTAAAGAAGCTATGACACCAGAAAGAAAAATTAAGGAGAAAATGCCTATGAGAGATGCTGCAGCTAAAAATATGGCTTTGAAAGCGATCAAAAAGGATGAAAGAAGAGGGAGAAAAAGGGTTAATTCTGAAGAAAAATCTTCACATGAAAAGTATAATTATTTTTAAGGGGGGGATTCTGGTCTATTTTGTTCTGCATACTGTATACTGCTTGGAAGAGACTGGAATCCCCCCTTAAATGTATACCTTTTATAAAAAAAACAATTTTGTTTTTCAGTACAACTATTGAAACAATACCAACACCACTTGTAAACGTTGGCGATAAATTAATGGTTTATTATGGCCCTACACATGATTCAAAAGTAGCTACATATGAAGCAAAAGTGATAGAAATAGGTACTGATTCTCAAGGACCAATTTACATGGTACATTATACAGGTTGGAATACAAGATATGATGAATGGATCCCACCACAAAGAATTGCTGAAAATGTTAGCGTTTCAACTAAAGCCAAAAGAATAAAACAAAGTTCAAATCTTATCTCTAAGGTAGATATTGATGGGATATAACCTAAAAAATTTGTTTAATTTGTTTTTATTAGTCTACAACATCTTTACCTAATTCATCATCAACTCCTACTACAAAATCGTTACCTAGTAAAAGAGGTAGAGGTACTTCTTTTACGGGTAAAACAACTACAGTGGAACCCACAAGATCAACAACTCCCTCAAGTGTAACATCATCATCGAGTAGAACAAAAAGTCCGGCAACTCCAGCTACAAGAAATCGAGTTAATACGCGACACGGAGAGTCTACGAGACGGACGAGGAGAACTTCTGTTCAAACTGATATTTCAATGCATTCTGATTCAGATTCGGAATCATCCGAATGTGACGGGGAGCAATCTAGAAATAAAAATGGTGGAAAAAGTGAAGATTGTGAGGTTAAAACTCCGAAAAAACGATTAATAAAAACTGTAAGTCAATTTAAAAAAATGTATTATTAATTATTATTAAATTAATTAAAAATTTGATTTAGAAACTCGAGAAACGTAAAGATGATGATGACACTGAAAAAGAAGACGAAGAAAAGCCCAAAAAACCACTAAGAAAACTCAAAAAAACACCAGAAGTAATAAAACCAAGTGATGAAAGCGACGAAGATAGCAGCAGTCATCCAAAAGGACGCGATTTTGATTTAAATCAGATTAGATCTGAACTGAAAGGTTTTACCAAAATAAAAATGACAGAAACTAGCGAAAAAGATACATCATCTGATGATTCAACCCCAACTTCTGAGGTTAAAGTTTTACCGGACGAATGTGATGATAAAAAAGAAAAAATTGAAAGTACTTCGAGTTCGGAAGATATTTATGAATTTAAAGAACCGGAGCCGTTTGAATTTGAAAGTCCGAAAACTATCGATGAAAAGAATAAAAAAAGGTTTGTTCCGCGTGTTTTGGAGCCCGTTGAAAAATCACCAAGGAAAAAGAGCCCAAAATCGAAAGTCGAATCGAAAGAAGATGAGAAAATAAAAAAATTTAGGCGTACTCCTAAAAAGGACGAAGACGATGATGAAGATGAAGAAAAAATTAAAGATGAACCGGATCCTTTTGATAAATTGGTTGAGTCACCTTCGTTTCATATTGGGAAATCAACTGAAAAAGTTGAAGAAAAAAAAATTATTCCTAAAGTGCTCAATATGGATCTTTTATTTAAAGAACTTCCTTCGTCAATAGATGAATCTGATGAAAGATTAGATATTTCAGATGCTGAAGATACCAGTGAGCCATTGTTTTCAAATAAAGGGCAATTATTTGCTGGGTCATTTTCAAAACCATCGCCTAACCATGGTTCTGATCCTGAATGCACGGGATTTACAACAAAATCAGATGATAGAAAAACAAATACTAGTGATGATGAAGAAATTATTAAAACAACAATGAAAAATGTATTAGAATTCGATAATGATAGTAATGATTTATTGAGTCAACCATCAGAAGAAGAAGATGCAATTCAAAAAGATGAAACCATCACTTTGAATCGAGTAGAAAGTGAAGACGAAATGAAACCTGACGTTTTAGTCGAAACGGTGTGTACTCAAGAAAAATTGGCGTCATTATCAAGACAAATAGCACCAGTTTTCCAAGAAACGGACTCCGCTTTATTAAGAGATTTATATTCTCAACAATTTTTAACAACAAAAGTTGATGATGTAAAAGATATCAATTACAAAATTGGTACAAAAGTTGCCGATTCTATTTTACAAAAATTGAACAAAAATATTAAAGAGGTTAAAAAAGATGAAGAAATAAAAGAAGAAGTTAAACCTATTCAGGAAATTCAAGAAATTAAAGAAGATGAAGAAGAGGAGGACGAAGAAGAAGAGGAGGAACAAATACCTCTTCCTGAAGTACCAAAATCTCCCGAACAACCTAAACTAGAAATTAAAATGAAAGAAAAACCGAAAGTTGATGTTCGTAAATCACCAAGAAAAGCAATCAGTAAAGAATTTATTGACGAATCTGACTCTGATAGTTCCGATTCGGAGGAAAGATTAATAATGGATGAAGATTCCCAAACTAGTTTATCCCAAGATATAAACAAATTCATAAAAGACCAAGAAGAATCATCATCAAAACCCGAAACGGAAACGATCGAAACCGAACCCAAATTTAATTTTGACGTCATCAAAGAAGAAGTTAAAGAAGAAAAACCAGAAGAATCTTGCAGCATAAAGGAAGAGGATGGCGATCCAGATGCTTTGTTGTATTGTGGCGAAACTTTACCAGGAAGTCCAGCTCCAGCACCATCTACAGAACCAAAACAAAAAACTAAAAGTGAACTTCCGTTCGCTAGCGTTCCATGTAGTAGTAGCAGCAGTAACAGTAGCTGTAGTAGTTCTTCAAGTTCAACTAATAATAAAGTTGTTGCGGTTGAAAAGCCAGGAAGTAGTAATAATGTTATTGTTGGTGTGATTAAAGAAAGAAATGTTGAGAGGCCACCTCAAATTGTACTACCGGTTGTACCACCTGTTGAAATCCCTGAAATTAGGGATGCTGCTGCTGTACTAGATAATACTCCTCCAACTACACCTGAGAGTACAATTAGTAATTTATCGCCAAGAAGGTAAGATTTAAAAAGCGTTTTATTATTTTATAAAATAATACTTTTACAGAGAAAACTGTGATTTATCACCAAACACTGCTGACAATGATAGTTGTAAATCAACGGAAGCCGAAGTTGAATCAAATAACCAAAGGAAAATTTCCACAAATAGTAAAGTTTCACCATTTAGTGAAGAAGGTAATTTAAAAACAAATCTTTAATAATTTTTTTTTAAATTTTGTATTATATTTTAGATACAATTATGAACAGTGAACAATGTGCTACTTCATCTAAAAAACGTGAAGATGTCGTAGCTGGATCCTGCAGAAAACGGCGAAGATCATGCAAAGGTGGAGATGACGTAGTTCTTCCTGTTAAACGAGGGCGGAAACCGCTTAATCGTTCTCGACATAATAGTGATAGTGATGATAATTCTGAGCACTCCGCTCAAGGAAATGGAAGTGGTGGGTCTTCGGGTAACGGTGATGGACGATTATCAAGGTCGCCAAAACCATCAAAATACAATTTTTGTGAACCTCTCGGTAAGATATTCATCGATGTAAAGAAAAATAAATACAAAGAATTGGTTGGTTTAGATCCAAGTTTAGACTGTAGTCAAAGAATAGCGGTTCTTCAACAAAAATTGGCTGATGTCAGGAAAACTTATGCTGATATCAAAGCGGAATTGGCTACAATTGAACGAAGACGTAAAAGATTAAGAAGAAGGGAAAGAGAAGGTATTAAAAAAAAAATAACAGTGGAATTTTAATAAATTATTTTTTTTTCGTTTAGCGGCAAAAGCAGCAAAACAAGAAGCAACCAACACGTGATCCAGAGTGCTCTTCCCAGGCAACAATTTTTATATATAAAATTAAGTTTTTTTTTCAACTAGTTTTAGGCGTTACAGATGTTTATAATATTACGTTGTTTCATATTATGATATAAACGAAAAACGATTTACAATTAGGTGAAATTAAATTTATAAAAATAAATAATGTAACAGTCTATTAAAAACATTCATATTCCGTACTGAAATGTGTTAAATTTAACACTTAGTTTGTACAGAAAAGTATTAATTAATATTTTTTTTAGTTATATATACTTTTCAATGATTTTTGTTTTGTTGTTAATTAATATGTATATTATTATAATTAATTACGGATCATTAATTTTTATTATAATTATTTGGTTGTGCAATATCAATTTGTTTATGCTCGAATTACTTGCCAAAATATTGACATTAATACAGTAAAACCTCGATATAACAGACTAATACGGAGAAGGAAGTGTACTTTATAATTAAAAGTCCATTATATAAATAATTTTATTGCACAAAAAATTCTGATATCGTTGCGTTCAGTTTACGTGAGTTTTTATTTATACCAAGGACGGATCTAAGAGGATTAATACATCTGCCAACAAGTGCACAACCTCGAAGGACCGTTCGTGACGTCAGCGCTGAATAACAATCAAAATTAGAACTAAGACTAGAACTAGAAACTTTCTTGTCTCGAGAGACGCGCGGTTAAACCCGAATGGTTCTAGTTCTAGGTTTTGTGTTAGTTCTAGTGATACTGCCAATGTAAAACTAGAGCTAACACAAAACCTAGAACTAGAATCATTCGGGTTTAGCCGTCTTGAGAGACGTGTGGCTAAATCCGAATGATTCTACTTCTAGGTCTTGTGTTAGTTCTAGTGATACTGCTAATGTAAAATTAGAACTGACACTAGACCTAGAACTAGAATCATTCGGATTTAGCCGCACGTCTTTCAAGACTGTTAAACCCGAATGATTCTAGTTCTAGGTCTTGTGTTAGTTTTAGTGATAGTGCTAATGTAAAACTAGAACTAACACTAGAACTAGAATCATTCGGATTTAGCCACACGTCTCTCAAGACGGCTAAACCCGAATCATTCTAGGTCTTGTGTTAGTTGTAGTGATACTGCTAGTGTAAAACTAGAATTAGCAACATTTGGGTTTAACCATCTTGAGAGACGTGCGGCTAAATCCGAATGATTCTAGGTCTATGTCAGTTCTAGTGATACTGGTAGTGTAAACTAGAACTGACACAAGAACTAGAATAATTCGGATTTAGCCGCACGTCTCTCAAGACGGCTAAAGCCGAATGATTCTAGGTCTTGCGTTAGTTCTAGTGATAGTGCTAATGTAAAACTAGAACTAACACTAGATCTAGAACTAGAACCATTCGGATTTAGCCGCACGTCTCTCAAGACGGCTAAAGCCGAATGATTCCAGTTCTAGGTCTTGTGCTGGTTCTAGTGATATTGCTAGTTTTACACTAGCAATAGTGTAAAACAAGAACTAACACTAGATCTAGAACAAGAAACATTTTCTAGATCTAGTGTTAGTTCTAGTTTTAGTTCCATAAAAATATACAACATAACAATATCTAGTACTAACTAGCATTGTCACTAGACCTAGAACTAGAAACATACGGGTTTAGCCATCTTAAGATACGCACGGTTAAACTCGAATGATTCTAGCTTTAAATCTAATGTTAGTCCTACTTTTTGTTAAATAAAAATATACAACATTCTAGCCCTAATAACAATTAAAATTAGAACTGCCGTCCTTGCTTTATACATCATATAGACAACTCGGGGAATACCCCGAGTTTATCTATTAACGTGGAATAGAGCAACTTGGGGAATAACCCGGATTTTTAATCTATGAGCGCTAACATATATATTTAAATATACTGATGTATTAAATTGATAATATTAATGGTAATAACTTAAAAATATTTTGTTCGTTATATCCGAAGTCTACTTTAACGGCCGAGATGATATCGAGATTTTACTGTAATTGACCTTTTTTATGTTCGAGACACGCATCCAATGATCTCAAACGTTAAAAACGTTATTGAATATGAATGTTTAAAACGATGCGAAATGAAGACATTTATTTAATTTTTGTAAAAAAATAACGAAAATTAAGACAAAAGTACCGATTTTCGGTTATTGTACATATTACGATGTTTTATTTTGTAATTTACTCATATTTCTCTTCTTTACGTTATGATGTATCAATATTTTAAAAATTTAAAACGTTTCTTAGAATATTAATTATTATATATCTTGTATAAGTTCTGTAATTATAATAGTCGTAAGAAATTGGAATGTTTAATTTTATAAATAAGATTATTTTTTCAATGTACACAATTTTTCCCTCCTATTTCAACCATTTAGTTAATGTTAACGTATTTTTATATTTATTTAGGATCATTAATCTGATAATAAAAAAATGTTATTTCTTAAAAAAAAAATAGTTTTATTATAATTCCTGCTTTAAATCTTTTTTAATTCAAAAGAATTTAATCAACTCTCTTTAATACCATCTCATCTCCCTGCCATATTAAAGTTATTACGTATTCATTAGCATGTAACAAGGTATAGATCTTAACTTCTTGCAAAACGTATGTAAATCGTTGATTAAGTTAAGCGTAGATTTTGCGTTTAATTCCGAAGTGAAAAAAAAATGATGTTTTTGTATCTATTAAATTAAAACTCGATTAATATCAAAAAAGGGTTTAATTTGACTCAATTTTTGAAGTTAATTTGTAATAATAAGTATATTAAATTATTTTAACCAAATTAAATTGTACCAAATTAGTTTGATTAAAATTTAAACTTCATTCAAATAAAAATAAATAAATTCTCCGTGCCGTTTTCATCTCGTTTCATTTTGGAATTTCAACTCGGGGAGTTGTTGTTTCGACGTTGTAGTAGATAGAGAGTTGGAGAGATCGCCCCCACATTAATCAATATATTCAACCGCCACCCCCACTGAATACGACGAACTGCGTCGATTTTAGGGATGATGATATTTTTCTTTTCATCAGGGAAGTGATAGATTTATATTAATTTTATGCGATTAATTTTATATATTTTTATGTCGTGGTTTTTTCTCTTGCCGCGTAGTATTTATATAATAACCGTTGGGGAATAATAATATAGTTGGAAACTGGTTATTGTGCCGGATGGCTGCAATACGGATGGAATGTTAGGCGACGGTAGCTTTCTATTGGTGTGACGCAGCCGCACACTAACGGTACGACTTTGGTCGTGTTGAGTTTCAAACCTAACAGAGTGTTTTAGTATAAAAAGGATATATTTTAAATAAAATCAGGTTCTAATATATTTTATCGAAAAAATATTTAATATAAGGAACATGTTTAAATTTTGAGTTGGTTCTTGCAAAATTTCCTATCGTTTTTTGTACGTAGTCGAATTAAATGTTACAGCTCTTAGATTTTATCGTTCCAAATAACCAAAGCATAGTAGCAGTGGAACAGTAATCTTTCTTATGAGCTAAGCACCACTACCTGATATTGCGTTCTGTAACATTAATCAAAACAATTTTTTAATTCATTTTTATTTATTTAGGTCAATTAATTTTTCTGCCAATCGTATATTTAATAATCAGTAGTTTTAATGCAAATGGTATATTTTGCTTTAAAAAAATAAGATAATACATAGGTTGAGTCAAACCATTAATCAATCAAGCTATAGCATTTTGGTAGCATAGGTATCTACATAGTGTTAAGTCGCATATATTGCCAATAGAAGATGATGACTTGTTAAAGAATACTCTGCGTTGGTGTCAAAAGACTACATGTTGCTGCAGAAGTGTAGATGCTGTCCACAAAAGTATCCACACTGCTAATGGAAGACTGAACCTGCTTGGAAACTAAATATTTTTGTATTAGAGCCATTACAGAAGACTAGATACTGTTAGCAGAATACTACTTGTAGAAGATCGAAAGTATACTGTTTGCAAATTACTAGATACTGCGGGTAGAAAATTAGATATTGTTGGCATAAAATGCAAAAATTCATTTTTAATTTATGTGCTATCTGAAAAAAATACGTCATCTACGCAAAAGATCCGAACAATTTCAACCCTGAGCTGCATATCTTGCAATATACAGACGACACGACGCTTATCTCTCATGCAACTCATTAGATAAAACCACAGCAAACTTACAAACTCTATACAACCAAGTATTGAAATGGTACATAAATGGAGACAAATTCAGAAATATTCCGAGTCATGGTTTCAAACCACAGCATTTGTGAAAAATCCCCAACAATGAATACTGACAACTTATGCATAAAACCATTTCAATCGATTAAATCCACGTAATAATTTTGGGTAATGGCCTAAAGATATCCAAGCCAAAAAATTTCCAAAAATACTTCCGAACACTCACCTACACATTAACACAGCAAAGATCTACAAAGCGGTGTTAGGCTATGGATATATACTAAGTCACGAAGAAGAAAAGCAGAAATTTATCAATAAAAAGTATAACATTGGACAAAATATGTTCAAAAAGAGCAGAAAACGATAACGACAGTAGACATTGGACAATACATAAAGTGGATGTTGTGTATACACACTGTTTGTAAAGGCGGAAAGACAGAATTATTTCTATCTCTGAAAAGAAGTAAGAAATAGAAAAGTTAACACAGAAAAAATATAAACAACGTAGTAAGAAAAACTATAAGGATACAGCTTTTGGAATGCTTAAACAGAGATAGAAAAACGATGAATTGTAGGAACCAAAAATCATACAATAATAACTGTACTTGGTATATTTCGCAGATTTGTAGCAAGATGTTCTGCATTAATTTACTTAGTAACGAATACAGTCACTTAAATTTCTGGCAAGATTGATCTCGCAATGAGGCATGAAACGAATAACTTAAATAATTGAGAAATGTACATAAATGTGAAAAATGTCGTTATCATAAAAGAAGACAACTTGGGAATTTGCAAAAATTATAGGTATTGATTAAAAACCAAAATAAAAGTGTTCCTTCTACAATTAATATTACATTAACCCAAAACTTGATTATATTGGGATTCATGGTAGAGTCTCGGCCACGAGCGACCTTGGTTAAACCCAGGATGGAGAATCCGTGACTTCGTCTGATTATAGTTTAATTAGACTGAGGTTGCTTGCAGATGAGACTCTATAATAAACATCATATGATTCCTAAGAT